ACAGACTTATTAAGAATTTATCAAGCATGTGAGAGCATTTTCCAGGTTTGAAGTTTCTTCAGTTCATTTACGAATCTAAGGTAGGAACCTGAAGATGTAGGTTCTAGACCTGGCTTTGCCACAAGCTAACAACATGAACTTAGATAGACAAAACATTTCTTTTTCTTTCCTTTGTTAGTCTCTATTTTCTCTTCTGAAAAAAATAGGGCTTGGGCTGAATGAATAAAGTCCTAAAATGTCAATAATCCCTGATTTTCCCCATGGCTTTCTTTTTTTTTTTTTAATGATACATAATAGTTTCATGGGTACATGTGGTAATTTGATATATAATGCATAAAGATCAAACCAGGATAATTGGGATATCATATCCATCACTTTAAATATTTATATTTTCTTTCTTTATGCTAGGAATATTCAAATTATTCTCTTCTAGCTACTCTGAAGTGTACAATAGATTAATGTTAACTATAGTTACCCTAATGATATATCAAATACTAAGTCCTATTTCTTCTACCTAATTGGAATATTTGTACAAAATGGTCAGTCTCTCTTCATTCCCCCTTTCCCTTCCTGACCTCTGGTAACCACCAATCTACTCTATATCTTCATGGGATCCACCTTTTAAACTCCCACATAAGAGTAAGAATATATGATATTTGTCTTTCTGTGCTTGGTTTATTTCACTTAGCATAATTACCTACAGTTCCATCTATGTTGTTGCAAATAACAGGATTTCATTCTTTTTTATAACTGAATAATATTCCATTATTTATCATTCAGATTCCAAAGAGGACTATTTACAAGTTAATCTCCATTCCTTGATCCAACTGTTCTTCCTAGTAATCATTTATTGCCCCTCAACAGAATTCCTCTTCTCCCCCCCACAACCCTTTTTTCCCCACCATAACCTGTTTTGCCAGGATCCACGCCCATATTCTTTCTGTAACCTCAAGATGCTTCTGAAACCCACTAAGATGTTGGACAATCACTCTGTGGTTCTCCTGTGCACATGTTAACAATACATTTATATGCCTTTTCTCTTATTAATCTGTCTTTTTTGAGTTGATTTTTCAGTGAATCCCCTGGGGGCAAAGGGACAGTATTCCCTTTGCCCTTACAATATATGCCAAATTTTCTTTATTTATCATCTGTTGTTGGGCACTTGGATTGATTCTATATTTTGGCTATTGCAAAGAGTGCTGCAATAAACATGAAGGTGCAGATATATCTTTGATACATTGGTTTCCTTTCTTTTAAGATGTACACCCAGTAGTGGACTTGATGGATCATATGCTAGTTCAATGTCGAGTTTTTCTAAGGAAATTCCATACTGTTTTCCATAGTAGCTGTATTAATTTACATTCCCACCAATAGTGCACAAGAGTTCTCTTTTCTCCATTTGTGATTCCCAATCTTTTTGACAGAAACCATTCTAACTGGCGTGAGATGATTTCTCACTGTGGTTTTGATTTGCATTTATTTGATGATTAAGTGATATTGAAAATTTTCTCATATACCTACTGGCAATTTGTATGCCTTTGGAGAAATGTCTGATTAGATCTTTTGCCCATTTTTTAATCAGATTTTTTTCTGCTATTGAGTTGTTTGAGCTCCTTATATATTTTTGTTATGACTCCCTAGTCAGATGGATAGTTTGCAGATATTTTCTCCCATTTTATAAGTTGTCTCTTCAACTTATTGTTTCCTTTGCAGCACAGCAGCTTTTTAGCTTGATGTAATCCCATTTGTTCATTTTTACTTGGGTTGTTTGTGCTTTTGAGGTCTTACACAAAAAGTCTTTGCCCAGATCAATATCCTGGAGTATTTCCCCAATGTATTCTTCTAGTAGTTTCATGAGTTTCGTTCTCAGATTTAAGTCTTTAATTCATTTTGCCTTGATTTTGTATATGGTGAAAGACAGGTCCAGTTTCATTCTTCTGTATAAGATTACCCCGTTTACTCAGCACTATTCAATGACGAGATAGTCCTTTCCTATGTTCTTGGCATCTTTGTCAAAAGTCAGTTGGCTGTAAATGGGTCTATGTGTCTATTTTTATGCCAGTACCATGCTGATTTGGTTACTTTAGCTTTGTAACATATTTTGAAGTCAGGTAGGGTGATGCCCCCAGCTTGTTCTTTTTGCTCAGGACTGCTTTCATTATGTGGGGTCTTTTGTGGTTCCATATAAATTTTAGGATTTTTTTTTCCATTTCTGTGAAGAAAGTCATTGGTGTTTTGACAGGGATTGTACTAAATCTATAAATTGCTTTGGGTAGTATTGTCATTTTGACACTATTAATTCTTCCAACCCATGAGGATGAAATATCTTTTCATCTTTTGTGTGCCCTCTTCAATTATTTTCATCAGTGTTTTATAGTTTCCTTCGTATAAATCTTTCACTTCTTTGGTGAAATAGATTCCTAGGTATTTTGTATTCTTTGTAACTATTTTACATGGGAATGCTTTCTTGATTTCTTTTCAACACTGCCCACTGTTGGCATATATAAATGCTACTGATTTTTGTATGCCGATTTTGTATAATGAAACTTAACTTGTTTGTCATTATGATTTTTTTGTGGAGTCTTTGTTTTTTCTAAATACAAAACCACGTTGTCAGTGAATACGGCTAATTTGACTCTTTTCCATTGTTTTCTCTTCTATATACTATCTCATCAAAACTGATCTCCCTTTTTCATTGCTTTCTCTTTTCATCTTGGATATTGTATAATTCTCAATACATTAATATAGTTTCTTACCTAACTCTAAACAGTAAGCACATTGCCCCCTTAATGAAAATCTTCTGCTTAATCAAGAAAGTTAGAAACCTTTGGAGTGAGAGATTCACTCCTATATCTTCAACACTTACCCCAATTTTTTTCTGTAGTTTTCTAACAAAGCAGTTTCTGCTGGCTCCCCTCAACCAAATCCTCTGTCAGATCATTTTCCTCTGCCCTTAATCCTCTATATTGAAGAGATTATCTAAATCCTCTGTCTTCACCATTCACTGTTCTAGGTCAGATTCAAATGTTTTTATTTTTTCCCTTTTGGACAATTTATGTTGTTCTTCCACAGTTTAGTAGAAGTAAATTCTTGAAATAGTTGGTCTCTTAGGTCAGGGGTTCCCAGAATTTCAGAATTCACATTCTATTAAAAACCTCTCAGCTGGGCTCGGTGGCTCAGCCTGTAATCCCGTGCCTTTGGGAGGCTGAGGTGAGTGGATTGCCTGAGCCTGTGGGCTCGAGAGCTGCCTGGGCAGTGAGACCTCATCTCTATAATAAATCAAAAAAAATCAGCTGGGTGTGGTAGCACATGCCTGTAATTCTGGCTACTCAGAAGGCTGAGGCGGAAGGATCGCTGGAGCCCAGCAGGTGAGGCTGTGGTGGCCGGAAGCAGCCACTGCACTCCAGTCTGGGTGACTGAGTAAGACTCCAACTCAAAAAACCCCCCAAAAAAACCCTCTCCTCCCCCTCATCAAATTTGAAGATCAATTTGGGGTTATTAAAATTTTCTTTGCCAAGTAATAACAGTAAAATAACACCACCATATACTATCACCATCATTTCAGAAGGAGTTTTTAACATTAATATGTAGGAAGGACACAACCTTGGGGGGAAAAAATACAGGACTTATATGGAATAAATTAATGACCATCTTTAACATTTTATAAATACCTTTCTACAATCTCTTCATTTTTCTCAAGTCTCTAAAGAACAAGGAAGACTTAGAGACACATATGAGTGAACAGATTAACACTTAAGTGGCAACGTGGTACAAATTTTCACACATATCTTATTTCAACCCATTTTAAGGAGGAGCTTTAATGTGCTTCCCTTCAACTTGGGTTGGTCTTTGCAGCCAGCATGGGACTTTCTTTGTGAATTTCTACTTATTTAACTTTCTCTGAGTGGGTCGGTCTGACAGATATTCTTCACATTCTTGACTCAGTAACATCAACTTCAAACATCTCATGCGCTGAGTTCAGCAGCCCATGAGATACAGCAAAGCAAGATGAACCTGGATATTCTCTGATCACAAAAATAAGCTCCCACATGCCACCATCGCTCTCATCTGTTTGCAGATTTCTGCCTTGTACACATTTCCCCACCTTTTTACTCTGGCTCCTTACAAGCTCAAGCTTCTGAAATCCTCTACTATTCTGGGTTCATTTATACTCTTTGCTCCACATGTGTGTGCCCTTCTCCTCTAAAACTTTTGTTTTTCTACCGATCTCCCATTTTTCTTAACATCAACTCTGTAATATTTTTCTTGTCTATTTCTATAATAATTAGTAACACAGGATTATGTGTACAGGGAGTCAAAAGCTTTTCTAAAACCTCTTTCTCCTTAAAGGTCATATAATTGCATTAGAGCATCCTACTAGGTTCGGATGGTTCCCCTTTGAGGTCACTAAATTTAACTACTTCAGGTGTTATAATTTAGCACACCTACAACTATTACAAGGCTAAAGTAATAAAGCCATATAAATGATAATCATAATGCTTTTGGGGTTTTTTTTAAAGGAAGCAATATGGATATAAATGTAAATTTTGAAAGAAAAGAAGATGAAAGGGAGAAAAGCTTAGAATTGCCACAAACCCTATCAATATATTTTTTAAAAACTAAGGCATAGTTCTACTGATCTTGATTCTGTCCAATAATCTATTTTGATGATTTTTTGGTTGAACTGAGTCACATTTGTTTTTTAATACCTTAGATACTAGACTTTAACATAAAATTGTATCTTCCTTTAAATTCCATTTTACTTACATTTTTTTCCCTCCTTAAACAAAAGTAATATATGAATGCTTAAACATTTTTTCAAATATTTCATAAATATGCCACTGGTAGTGAAAGGTCTTTATAAGTCTCCCACCAAAAATACACATGTGTGCAAGATAATCTCTATAAGTTACTGGTGTATATTCTTCTAGATTTTCTTTTCCTGTACATATATGTTAGTAATTAGCATGTTTTTCAATAAGAACGATTCCACCACTTACCAAAATAAGCCCTGATATTAGTGAGGAAGTGCCTGTCAGAGCCACGTAGAACTTCGGTGTTAATGTGTTCAAAAACATGCTCACTGAAAAAAAAAGAGAGAAAGAGAGAGAGAAAGGGAGAAGAACAAGGAATGCATGAGTATGTCAGTAAAACCAGCACTTTCATTTTTCTTTCTGGTGAAATCATTTGTTTCTGATGATGAGAATTCTTAGAGCCTTAGCAAAGCCCATTGAAATAGTTCACCATTACTAGGCTCAGAATACTAGAAGTAAAGTTATAAATCCTGAAAAATGCTGCATACAAGAAAAAAGAGCTTTGTAGTCTCTACCTCCCAAAACTATTGTTGTCAATGGTTTTTTCTGTATTTATAACCACTGAAGAGTTTAATCAAATTTGGTTACAAAACAGTCAAAAAGAGAAGGTGCCCTTACACTTTTTGTGAGACCTGCATACTAGAGCCCTTGATGAAACAATAAGCAGCATTTCAAATTTAGAATAAGCAGAATATAGCTATATTTAACGTATTAAATAATTCTTAAAGATTATAATGCTACAATTACCCTGAAGGAGGAAGGTCAAAATGACAAAGTTATCATGCATGAATAAAAGTTTTTTCAACTTACTTAAAAGGCTGTTAGGCGGCTCATCAAAATAATTGGAGTCAATGAAAAAAAAAAGATGAAAAATAAAGCACTAAAAATTAATGTGCACTTCCAGGCACCTTCTTGACCAATTCTCAGTGCTCTGTTCATATCAACTATATGGTTAATTTGGTTGCTCACTAATTAAAGTTCACATATATTTTATAAATGTACTTCAAATCATTATTTACATAGAGATACTATAAAGCTTTGATTATTACCAAAAGAGCAGCAAACTTAATAGACTTTTTGTAAAGTAATTCACATTTTTTTACTGAATTTGTTTGTGGAAGGGAATCATATCCAATTTGGTTTTAGAATGAAGGTCTTTTGAAGTAGGACTTCGCCGTCATTAGGGGGAAAGACTTTGGCCAGAACTCAGTCCAGAATGCAAAGTAAAATACCAAAATAAATGGAAATCATTCAACAAATATTTTTTTCTGTTTATGAATGAGACCATTGATAAAGAATGAAAGAATAAATCATACACAGTTCCCACCCTCCAGAAGCCCACAGTACAGTTGGGAAATACACAAACAAATAAGCAAACTATTACAAAGTTTGATAAGTACATAGAAAGATCCTATGCATAGATGTTATAAAAACACATAAGAAAACACATCCAGGGTGGGTGACAGGGAAGATGTCCAGGAGAAGGGCACATCTACATTGAGTCCCGAAAAATAAACAGGAGCTAAACAGATCAGCAAGAGCAGAAGGGGTGACAGGAGGGCAGTTTAAGCAGAGGAAAGGAACTGCCTCAAGGTGCAAGGAGACAACATGACTTTGCCAAGCAGATGCAAGTTTTGAGGAGGAAACAAGACTGGGCAAAAGCTCCTTATCAAAGACTTGGATGTGGAAGGGTGCACTGATTTCATTCTTCTTTGCTTCCTAAGCATTCTCTCAATAAACCTGCCTCCTACTGTACCCACTCTTAAATGAATTTGTTTGACTATGGTATGTCATTTACAATCACAAGAGACTGGACTAATACAATGAGTTCAGTCAATATTCACAACTTGAACTAAGTGGACTCTTCAGAGGAGGGAGAAGGCATGGAAGGAGTGATCAACCTAGGGCTGTAAGGCAAGAGGAGGAAGGTACAGTTGAATTGAGGAGACTTTGGTTGGTCATCAAAAAACAAAATGTAATGATTTGTCATTTCCCATGCAACAGTCACTTAGTAGAAGGAAGTCGATTTTTAAAAAAGAAAAGAAATCAAATGTATCAAAAACAATCCCAGAGTCTGCAACTACCAATTTGATTCAGATGTGCCTAAAATTCTCAAAATCCCCCTTGTTGCAGTATGAATAACCTCATATTCTCTGTTATTTTTAAAAAGTCACCCAGAGTATTTGCTATTTGGTAACTATAAACATTCATATCTGTACCATATACTTTTCAGTAGTTTTGGAGAACAATCTGAGCACCACTGAGATACATTTCTAAAAGAAGAAAAGATTTCCCTGAATTAGAAGTGCTTTAGTAGCCCTGCTGTTAATTGCCTACCAACAAAAGCATAAATCAATGGAAGGGGGAAAGATTTTCTACTGAAAATCCCTGATCCACTGGAAGCAAAAGATCTAAGAATTCATTGAAAAGAGGAAAAAAACCCACAAAATGACTTAAGTTTTTAAAGAGATAAAACTGAAGACTTCACTCATTTGTTTTTAATTAATGAAGATTATATAGCAACTGTAATTAATAATTAAATTTTTATTCTCTGTTATATCCACTTATAGGAAACTGGTCAGAATTGAGAGAGATAATGGTAGGAATTAAAACAAATAGAGACACAAAGAACAAGAGAAACTGAGATAGAAACATCTAGAGAGTGGGAGTTGTTCATTTAATAACCTATTAATCATATAATCTTAGCAAATATTCTAGCCAAAAATGTTAAGACATGGCATTTGGCAATTTTAGACATAAAAGTGCCTTTATGTGACTATATGAATATTGATTGACTAGCACTGAATTGCTATTCTCAGTTTCCATTGAGATGAAACAAATTAGCATGGGTTTAAATTGTATTTCTAAAACTTAGGGCAGCTGCCTGGTCTTCTCCAAAATTGCCAATATTATTTATGGAGGACTTCTCTCCAACAAGTTCATGAAATGGAGAATGCAGCCCAACTAAAGAGAAGAGACTCTGGTTTACTTACTTTCTAGACAAATCAATGAAAGTGAAAATCTTTAGAAAGAGTATTCCTGTACATTTGAGGTTGTTTAATTGTCTATAAAATAAGAAAAGTAGTACCTATCTTGCATGGTTGTAGCAAGGACTAAATGTGATAGTGTAGATAAAGTGACTAACATGAGAGACTTCATCAAATAATATGTATTAAGATTGCTGGTTATGTTATTCTTGCTTTTAGGATTTGAGATCTTATGATACTATAGTTGTAGAAAGCAGAGGAGTCTAAGTTGAATATGTAGAAAATTGTCATAGCAGCAGAAGTAGCAGCCATCATGCTAGCATTTAATGAGCACTTTCTACGTGGCAAGTACTATGCAACAGACTGCAGCCTAAGAAGTAAATCACCTGCACTATGACTTGTCCTTATGCTAAACATGGATACCCTACAATACAAATGAAAAGTCAGTTAATAGAAGAATCCAGAAGTGAAAGACCTTTACAATGAGAACTACAAAACACAAGAAGACACAAACAAATGGAAAAATACCCCATGTTCATGGATAGGAAGAATCAGCATTATTAAGATGTCCATCCTACCAAAGGCGATCTACAGATTCAATGCAATACCCAATAAGTTACCAACATTCTTCTTCTCAGACCTGGAAATGACAATACAGAAATTTATATGAAAACATAAACGACCACAAATAGCCAAAACAATCCTTAGCAAAAGAAACAAAGCAGGAGGTATCACCCTTCCAGACTTCAAACTTTACTATAAGGCTGCAGTAATCAAAACAGCCTGGTATTGGTACAAGAACAGGCACATAGACTAATGGAACAGAACAGAGATTCCGGAAGCAAAGCCTCAATTCCTCAACCAACTCATCTTTGACAAAGTCTCTAATAACAGCCACTGGGGAGAGGAGAACCTATTCAGTAAATGGTACTGGGAAAACTGACTGACCACATGCAGAAGATTGAAACAGGACCCCTACCTATCACCATACACAAAAATAAACTCTAAATGGATCAAAGACCTAAACGTAAAACCTCAAACTGTAAGAACCTTAGAAAATGCAGGAAATACTCTTATGGAAGTTGGAACTGGCAACCGATTCCTGATCAAAACCCGAAGTGCCCAGGTCATAAGAAATAAGATAGACAAGTGGGACCTCATTAAACTGACAAGCTTCTGCAAAGCAAAAGAAACCATCAAGAGAGCAGGGAGACAGCCCACAGAATGGGAAGAAATATTTGCCAACTGTATATCTGACAAAGGCCTAACATCTAGGATCTACAAGGAACTCAAACACGCCGAAAGGAAAAAAACAAAAAAGCCCCTTCAAAAAGTGGGCAAAAGACATAAATAGACACTTCTTAAAAGAAGATATACAGGCAGCCAACAGACACATGAAAAAGTGCTCAGCCTCAATCATCATTAGAGAAATGCAAATCAAAACCACATTGAGATACTACCTAATGCCTGTAAGAATGGCTATCATTAATAAAACAAACAACAACAGATGCTGGCGAAGATGTGGAGAAAAAGGAACACTTCTACACTGCTGGTGGGAATGCAGACTAGTACAACCTCTTTGAAAGACAGTGGGGCGATTTCTAAAGGAAATAGAAATTGACCTTCCATATGACCCAGCAATTCCCCTCTTAGGAATATACCCGGAGGAACTCAAATCATTCTACAAAAAAAATACCTGCACACGTATGTTTGTTGAAGCTCTATTCACAATAGCAAAAACATGGAAACATCCGTGTTGCCCATCGAAGATGGACTGGATAAAAAAAATGTACATATACACAATGGAATATTATACAGCCATAAATAAGGACAAATATATGGACTTTGCAGCAAATTGGATGGATTTGGAGTCGATCATACTCAGTGATTTATCACAGAAACAAAGAACTGAGTTCCATATGTTCTCACTCATAAGGTGACCTTGAACAATTATAGTGCTATAAGAAAGCGATTGGCAGTAGCGGAAAACTGTCAGGGGAAGTGGGGGTGGAACTGGCAGTTCGGGGAAACCGCTAGGGGAGGGAGGGGCATACCTCGTCAATGAGGGTACCTGCATGATCAATGTTTGTATACCTAACCCTGAATTGTACCACACATTTTTATAATAAATAAATAAATTAATTTTTAAAATAATAATAATAAAATAAAATAAGGGCATCAATAGGCCCTACGTTAAAAAAAAATAGAAGAATCCTTTTAACTGGATTTGGTTGCTTGATGTAGTACTAAACTTGAGGGTGCATTCAAAGGCAGCCATTTTA